GCAGCAGGCTGTCACTGTTCAGCTCTCCAGTTCTGAAACAGTTTCATGCATGGAATGGGAAACATTATCCATCAGAAATGTTTATCTATTCAGGATCTGTTAGGTCTTCTTTATACATCATGTGTATTGTTACTATTTCAGCCAAATTAGAGAGAGTAGAAGGCCTTCCTTCACATTGTGGATGTCACTGTGTGTACGGAGGTCATCTAAATAGGACAGCCTTTTTGTCTTTTAAAGATACACAGGATATGGGCACATCTTGGAGCCGGACTGATAAAGGGAAGCTATCTGTAATTCTTGGGCATAGAGGCAATTTGCATACAGGTCAGGGCATGGATGGCATGTCAGTTTCTGATACGGGCAGCTAAACATCCACTTGATGCAACACATAGACCGATGAGGTATAAGAAGCAGGAGATGACCTTGTTCGGGGCTCAATCTTTGCTGACATTGTTTGAGCCCACAGCTGTGCAAGCTCCAAGCATTTTCTCTGTCCTGCAATGACCTGATCTGGAATAAACTCTGTTACTTTTTTACTCCTGTTTTTTATAGTCCTTTTTTTATATGGTTTTACCCAGTTTGAGTTAAGAGTAGTAAATAACTTGCTCCCAGGAAAAGAACCGGAAGGGAAGTCCTGAGACGCAACCTCCTTCCACATAACTTCCACATTTAACAGATCCTTTTGTTTCCCACCTCCTGCACTGAGTCCAGAGGGTATCCAATCACAGAGCTGGCCTTCCTGATCAGCTTATCATACTGCAGTACCCTGTAAGAATCCAAACATGCATGAGGAGAACATGTAAACTACATACAGAAAGGTCCTAGTATGGGTTTCAAACCCATCTTGCTGAAAGGCAACAATGCTACAAACTTCACCACCGTGCAGAAAGCCATTAAGTCAACATCTGTGGATTTGGTCTCTTGAAAAATTCAGAGTCATCATGTTCTTTTCTGATTCTCTGGTAGACTTAGTATCAGACCTCTGAATGTATTTGATTGGACTACATTTTATTTGAGGGTGTCGGAGTGAAAATGGCAAAATTCCAAGCATGTAAAGCAGTTTTTTTAAATCATGGAAACCATATGTTACTTGGTAGCAGCTTTCTTTTATGCACAAATGCTGCTGATCCTCAATATAGAATCCTGAAGAAGGCGTCTTTTAGATATATTATTATAAAATGTGTGTAATCCTTCCATAATGTGAAATGTCATCTGATACTACCCTTTCACCGCTCGCTTTATATCTAAAGATGACTGAAGTGTAACCTTCCTCTTCCCTTTGTCAGATCTCTCTGTGGGTGACAGCCGCTGCCAGGCAGATTCAGCTCATCAGAAAAATGTACTTCAGCAAAGTGATGAGGATGGAGATCGGCTGGTTTGACTGCACCTCTGTGGGGGAGCTCAACACTCGCATGTCAGAGTGAGTTAAGAAGGGATGGCGTTACTTCAGACTTACAGACTGTGCCTTAGACTGAGAGTTGGACTTACAGCGCTCATATATGTGTTACAGTGACATAAACAAGATCAATGACGCCATTGCGGACCAGGTGGCCATATTTATCCAGCGCTTCACCACGTTTGTATGTGGTTTCTGCGTCGGGTTTGTCAAAGGGTGGAAGCTGACGCTCGTCATCATCGCTGTCAGTCCACTGATTGGGATTGGAGCAGGTCTCATGGCTTTGGTAAAAAAGAAATTTAGAATCAAGAGAATAAAGCTGAGAATATTTATCTAATGTCAAATATTTGACACAAGCTTCAGCCCATCTCAGTCATCCTTTCATGTTTCTCTGATGTGCAGTTCGTGGCTAAACTGACAGGAATGGAGCTGCAGGCCTACGCGACAGCTGGAGCTGTGGCTGACGAGGTCCTCTCCGCCATCAGAACTGTAGCCGCTTTTGGAGGAGAGAACAAGGAAGTAGAAAGGTATTGATTATGCAAGGCTGTATATTTGACCAAAGAGTGCACTGGAAAAACAATCTAGAAATAAGTACAACTTTCTTAAATTAAATTTGAGTACACTGCAAAAAATGGAAATCTGTATGAGTTATTTTTGCTTAAATTGAGTGAATTTTTTCTTGAATTGAGGTGATAAGTGAGACACTTTGCCAATGGAACAAGACAATTTACATTTAAAATAAGAAAAAAAANTTTAAAATAAGAAAAAAAATTGCTTTGTCTTATTTCAAGTGAATATTATCTAATTGTCTTATTTTAGGAGTAGAAATACTGATTCCATTGGCAAATCGTCTTATTTACCTACTAAAATTAAGGGTAAATACACTTATTTTAAGAAATTTTGTACTTGTTTCTAGATGGTTTTTGCAGTGTAGGTAATTCAGATAGTTTTCCAAAGGAATGAGGATTTTTACTCTTAAAATAAGATAATTAGATAATATATACTTGAAATAAGACAATGGAATTGTGTTTTCTTATTTTAAGTGTAAAATGTTTTGTTCCATTGGCAAAATGCCTCTTCTACCTCCTCAATTCAAGGACAAATCCACTTATTTTAAGAAAAAAATTACTAATCTAGATTTCGTTTTTTTCCAGTGTGTTGATTATTTTCCACATGATTACATTTGGACTTATATACAATTATTTCAAGGTATGACAAGAACTTGATCTCGGCTCAGCGATGGGGGATCAGGAAGGGTATGATCATGGGTTTTTTCACCGGATACATGTGGCTGATCATCTTCCTGTGCTATGCACTGGCCTTCTGGTACGGCTCTACTCTTGTCATAGACACAGGGGAGTACACTCCGGGAACACTACTGCAGGTATTCAATTGGGATTGATGGAATGCAGCCCTGTGATTTAATTATCCTACAAAAACTTACTGTTATATTTCAGGTGTTTTTCGGGGTGCTGATTGCAGCCATGAATTTGGGACAAGCCTCCCCGTGTTTGGAGTCATTTGCATCCGGCCGTGGAGCCGCAACCATAATATTTGAGACTATTGACAGGGTAGGAATGTGTCACGCTTTATACTTTCCTATTGAAACTTCATGTTTTTAATTAGTGACCTTATCATAAACGTTATGTTTCTGCGATTTGTTACCCAAGGAGCCAGAGATTGACTGTTTATCAGAGGCTGGATATAAGCTGGACAGGGTGAAAGGAGATATTGAATTTCACAACGTGACCTTCCACTATCCATCCAGGCCTGAAGTTAAGGTGAAGTACTGCTTCTTTTCTATAATTTTCAGAGGAGCACACAAGCCAACTCCAACTCAACAAAAGTTAAAGAAAAAAGCTAATTGGAGGAAAAAAAAGCCAATTTTTTCTAAACATTTTTACTGGCCTGGATTAATTTTCTTTCCATTTGAAATTTTCAAATGTTGCATCATTCAGATTATCAGCCACTTAAAAAAGATCAAGTTAAATTTAATGGCTCCCCAAACCAACATATCTGCACCATGCATAATCCCACCCATGCTCTGCTCCCTAATAATGCCACCCTGTGCTACTGCCCATATGGGCCAACAACCCTCACTGCTCTCTTAACATCTATTCTGTAAATTTAAAAAATTTGCACAATATATATATATATAAGGGGAATTAGGTATAATTATATCTCTCATGTGGAGCAATGACCTGTGTGTAATCAGATCCTGGACCAGCTCAACGTCGCTGTCAAGTCGGGTGAGACCACCGCCTTTGTGGGGCCAAGCGGAGCAGGGAAAAGCACTGCCATTCAACTCATTCAGCGTTTCTACGACCCTAAAGTAGGGATGGTAAGCGCTACGCTCAGAACGCCACATTGAGCTGGTTTCTCTGTCACTGCTACTATCGTTTCTCCTGAGATTGAAGTTTCCCTCCACACACTCCTCTCTCCCTTTCAGCTCTCAAAAATAACCGTCCCCCGTGGGCGAGAGAGGTACATGATAATCTGTTTCATTATTCAGTTAATGGTTCCTAAAAGCCTCATTTTTCATTTTTACCGGAATTACAGATCCTCACACAATTTCCAGTCCCTTTTTTAGCCTTTCAGGAAAGACATATTGCTTTCTGAAGGTTGTCCAAAAAGACAGACAACCTTTTTTTCATTCCAAACTACTTGTTGCTAGAAAAAAAGCGAACATCTATGTGGTACAGTGCTTTAAAAGCATCATCAATCAAGTTTAGCGTCAGCTCCAGTTCACTGTGGCCTCCATCTCAGGTGACACTGGATGGTCATGACATCAGAGGCCTGAACATCCAATGGCTGCGCTCTCTGATTGGCATCGTGGAGCAGGAACCTGTACTGTTTGCCACCACCATTGCAGAGAACATACGCTATGGTCGACCTGGGGTCTCTATGGAGGACATCATCACTGCTGCGAAGGAGGCCAACGCATACAACTTCATTATGGACCTTCCACAGGTGAAGGAGGCACAGAAAAAAGAGGGAAATGTGGTTTAACTTCAAATCTAAAAGGTATAATTTTATTTTCTGTTTTAAAATCCTGCAGAAATTTGACACTTTGGTAGGGGAAGGTGGGGGCCAGATGAGCGGTGGGCAGAAACAGAGGATAGCCATTGCTCGTGCGTTGGTCAGGAACCCACGCATCTTACTGCTGGACATGGCGACCTCTGCTCTGGACAATGAAAGTGAAGCTATTGTCCAGGAAGCTTTGGATAAAGTGTGTGAGATATTTGCTAAATTGTGTCATAATGCAATAAGTTCTGTGTCAGGTGGCCAGGTTAGGTGATGTTTTGATCTTCCTCACAGGTACGCATGGGACGCACCACCATCTCAATTGCTCACCGACTGTCCACCATTAAGAACGCAGACGTGATAGTTGGTTTCGAGCATGGCCGGGCAGTGGAGAGGGGCAAACACAACGAACTGTTGGAGAGGAAGGGGGTATACTTCACTCTGGTAACCCTGCAGAGCCAAGGAGACAAGGCTTTGAATGAGAAAGCCAGGCAAAGTAAGTATAGCATTTAACGTCATTCCCTCCCATATTAGTGGAGTATCAGACATAGAGTTTCCCTTATGAGACCAAACCCTTCCAGACCAACTGAGTCATGGGAATCAGAAACTATTTGGCACCAAAGTGCCTGAATAAGGGTTAGGATTCTTAAAGTCTCTAATTGTGAGGTAGAGTTTACAGATTAGTATTTAAATCTGCAGCATTCCTCTTCACATTATTGTCTTTTTCTGAATGCACAGATTCATTTTCATTTAATTTGATGCTGATGCCATCAGAAAACATCTTTTTGCATGTAGACAATAGCTCGATTAGTAACTTACATCACAGGTGTCACAGTAATCCACATTAAATTCAAGACCAAGGAGTTTCAAGCAAAACTTTGCCCAAAGCACAACACCTCAGTAGTTGGCTTAATTTTTTCCCTAAAGTGCATCTTGGTTTCAAACTGTAAAGAAAACACTGAAAGCAGGGATCCTGACTCATTCATTGATTCATCATCTTCTATTTATCTAAGACGGAGTCATATCCAGACTAAATACCCAGACATCATTCTCCTCAGCCACACTCTTTTGCTCATTCTGGGCAGAAGAGAAATTATTCAATTAGCTTAATCTTAGTCTGCCATAGGGTCTCCACGCTATTCGATATTACATAGAGGAGTCCTGATTGCATGGCTGACCCAGGTTAATTGACCCCTCTTGTTCCTGACGAGCAGCCGCTCTACTCCTAACTCTCTTGAAGTAGTGGTAAATCCATCTACCCAATGGAGAAAGCTGATTTCAGCTATATTTACTTTGATTATTTGTTCTGAAGTGTCCAGTCCTTTGTCAATTAATTCTCCACTATGGTGTCAATACATTTAAAAAAAATACAAGATCCAAGTGTCTGATCCACTGAATACTTCCCTATAGCAACCATTTCAATCTGAAAAACTCACACAAAGAGAAAAGACAATTAGAAGAAATGTATTGATACAATTACTTTGTCCTTGGCGCTCAAACCTCGGCAGGAAACATAGCGCTGAATTTTGATAGATATGCATGAACAGGGGTAAAGAACAAGGCTGTTTCCCCCCCAGGCCTGAAACTGGTGGTGGAGTGGAGATAGATGAAGTTGGTCAGTCTGTAGACTGCTGGTTAGCGAGACGGTCTGCTGAGCTTTATGGGTAGACCCAGTGGACTGCGTGAGCTGATACTAGAGCTTCACTCAGGGACCTGGAAGATGGAAGTCCAGCTTGGATAACACAGGTTGAGAGAACCTGTCCATGATGAGCAAGCATGAAGCGACAGTGGAGAGGAAAAACTCCCCGTTGGGAAGAAACCTCTGGCAGAACCAGACTTAACATGGCGGTCTTCTGCCGGACCAGTTGAAATGAGACGCGGAATGCAGTAAGAATCCGGGAGGAATGACTCTCTGATGAAGCTTTAGCTATGAAAGGCGGAGGAGGGGCTGGAGGTGGGTTGAAGCAGGGTCATCTGAATGAAGTCACACAGTGCAACCACCACCTGTGGATTAGGTAGCAGACGAGTTGCTGATCGGAGGCCTTTTAAGATGAACTTTGGATGTTGAATAGCTTTCGTGGTGGTGTGGTTCAAAGCTGATTGGCTGTGTCGTAGGCAGATGAAGGCGAGCAATCAGTTTCTTCAGTTGAACTTCCACCTAGGCTACGTTTGGTGAGAGCATTTTCCTGAGTGGTGGAGAAAAGAAATGTTCTTTAACTGTAAATCTCCACCAGATCATAATTACAGCTGACTCAGGTTTTTATCTGCAGTAAAAATATACCCTAAAATAAAAACACTAAAATAGAGCCCTTTCCCTGACCACAGCCATTCTTTCATCAGCTGCAGGCTTTGTGTTTGAAGGCCTTCTTTTTTGTTTTTGTTTTTTGTCTAATTTTTTTAGGTATCCATTCTTAGAAAGAAGATTTGCTCATGAAACTTTCTCTTTCACTTGGCCGGTAGTGTAAATTATAAAACACAGCTAATCTGTTGGCACTTGACCGACAAGCATGGCAACATATCTGTGGACGTCTTTATTCCATTTGGAGTTGTATCACTCTAGAAGACCAGGTCTTTGATTGAAGTCTTGTTTGTTCTGGGTTGGGTTTTGGTTTTGAGGTTTTGAGGACCCAAATGCAGAGGTGAGGACGCAGAGGTGTGTTCTTGAAGATTTAATAAAATAACTGAGGCAAAAATCAAAAAACCAAAGTAAAAAATAACCAAAAAACACAACTTCATGGGAAAACTCACTTGGGGAGCCAGGAAAAGACGAGGAACCAGTACTGAGGAACTGCACAGGGGGAGTCTATATGGGAGACTGAACAAAGACAGGACTAATGAGGTGATTGGGAGCAGGTGTGAACAGAGGCTTCTAGAAGGGAGCTAGGGAAAAGGACACCAACACAAGAGGGCAACCAAGAAAAACATAAGAACCCAAATATATCAAGAAACCACAAAAAAGGAATTAAACCAATAAAACAAAGAAAAACATTGATAAAAGTGGAACTAAATACTCAAAAGAAAACTTAAACCGAGACAGAAATGTCAAAATTTGTTTTCATATGTAGACCTGCTGATGGGTTTCTTGTATGGAAAGTTGGAAGGGCAAAATAAACCTTGATGGTTGAGGGTCTTCTTGGTCGGACTCTGTGTCAATCCTACATTATTCAAACACCTTCATAATGGTTTCATAATGACAGTAAAGGTCTGTGGCCGCTCCCATTATAGTGCTGGTTCTGCCTCTTCTCACAACCAGTTCTCACCCCTGATGGTCGCTGCTCTTCATCACAAGATAATCAGTAGAGAAAATATTAAATTGGTCTCAAATTACATGCAGTAAAACCAAGGAAATTTACACGTAGCACACAAACTGAGTTCTTATTGCTATTAATGTATTAAATATGTCCACCATTTTCCTTTTATCTGTCATGCATCAGTGGCTGATGAAGAAGAACAGGAGCCAGAACGGTTAAATCTCGCCAGAGCGGGCAGCTATCGTGCCAGTTTAAGGTATTTTCGGAACCCATATCTTTATTAATTGCCTTTTCAACCACTTTGTCTACACCTTAATTTACTCAGCTCTGAATGTGCATCTAACACGGATTACTCCTGCTGTCTTTTTATAGCTAAAATTGTCTGTAATACAGGAGTCACCTGCACTGTAATTTATTTAATTACCTTTTACATTTTCTTCGACATTTAGATTCTGTATCTAGAGCTGCTAATGTAATGTGGTGAGAGGAGAGAGGCTTAAAGGCTCCTGTGAATAAGTTAAATTACATAAACAATGTGGATTATTTACATTAGACCTGAATAGTTATATAAACAATAAGCAGAGGATGTCAGAAACTATTTTTCCTTTGAACAGAGCCTCAATCCGCCAGAGATCTCGATCCCAGCTTTCCAACCTGGTCCCAGAATCCTCAGTACCTATTGCTGGAGATCTCGCACCCAGAGCCTTCGCAATGCCCCAAGAAGATCAAGTTAAGGTATGTTGCAATCTGTTTGCACCATTTTTTAAATCTTTTTATCATTTTTCATCCATCCATAGAGAGAAAGCGCAGTTGTTTTAATAACCCTTTTAATGCATATCCACAGAAAGCCATACCAGAAGAGGATGACGATGAACTTGTAGAACCTGCTCCAGTTGCCAGGATTCTGAAGTACAACGCGCCTGAGTGGCCTTACATGCTTTTTGGATCTCTTGGGGCTGCTGTTAATGGAGGAGTTAACCCAGTTTATGCACTGCTGTTCAGTCAAATCTTGGCGGTATGATCTGAGGGATTCCCAACTAATCTCTGGACAATTTCCTAAGTAACACTGTAATCACATATTTATAAAAAACCTGGATTTTAGAGTGTTTTGGAGGGAATTTTATGTTACAGACAGAACGTAGATGTTACTCTGTTACTCTTGCCTAAAATGGGGTTCAACAATTGTCTTCTGATGTTCGTAAATGAAGTTCATATTTGTTGTTTTGATACTTCGACTTACGTTAAAAATATTTATAGTACATTGCAGCAAATGACATCATCATAGGCAAGCTCCTCAGGGAAACATGGTGGTGTTAGCATCATGCTATGGGGGTGCTTTATTTTGGCAGAGGTTCGAGGAAAATATTAGATTTGGCAGAAAGATGGATGGAGCTACTTGTAGAGCTTTAAGGAAACCTGATAGAGGTTGCAAAAGATGCGGGAACACAGCTAAATATTATTCATGTCAAAGTCACAGAGCTTGAGCTCCTTTGCTAAGAATTGTGGGAAAAAGTTTCATTCTCAAGATGAGCAATACATTAAATGTTAAGTAGATCTATAAAGTATTCAGTGAGCCAAATAAAAATGAATCATTTTTCATCTACTTCACTATTAAGCTCTACATTATTGGCCTAAAAAAAAAAAGGAAAACGAGATTGCAATGTGAAAAATCACATATCCATGCGTGATGGTTCAAATTAATACTGTTTTTTCTGCATGTTTACTCTGTGTGTTGCAGACGTTTGCTGTGACAGACCCTGAAGCTCAAAGGAAAGAGATTGATGGAATCTGTGTGTTCTTTGTTATTGTTGGAGTCGTCTCTTTCTTCACCCAGATGCTGCAGGTAGCACAGCAGTTAGCTTTGACATGACTGATTGCTGTAACGCTTTCTACTGCTTTCATTCTCTCCTTTCATCAAAGTAGCAAAGAAAGTCACAGGGGAACCTTCCAGGTTGAGAAATGAATACCTTTATCAAATAAAGAAATTTTTTATCTTTTCTCCTTCAGATCGGGTATTGAGTCTCGGGAATTTATGAATCAGATTAGGCGTATAACCGTCTGATGATGTGAGGGTGTTTTAGATTTAATAAAAGGTTCCTTTCTCCATGTGTCTGCAGGGTTATGCCTTTGCCAAGTCTGGAGAGCTGCTGACCCGCAGGTTAAGGCGAATCGGTTTCAAAGCCATGCTTGGGCAAGAAATTGGTTGGTTTGATGATCACAGGAACAGCCCTGGGGCGCTCACCACTCGTCTGGCAACTGATGCTTCGCAAGTGCAAGGGGTGAGAGTTAAAGCCTCAATAGTAATAAAGAATGTCAGGGACTCGTTCAGCTTTTGGTTGTGTAACTGATAAAACAAATATCACATCTGTCTTACTTTGTAAAGCTGCATTATTAAACCTGTGGGGTTTTCTAGCAGGCTAACCAGTGACAATATTTTGCTCTAAGAGAGATTAAATGTAATTTGTGACTCCAGGTCCTTTTCCCGTTGATCTTTTAAATTTTAACCAATATGAAAGAAGAAAAACTAATCATTGTGAAACATGGTGGTGGCAGCATTGTGATGAGGGAGGTTGGTCAGAGTTGGTGGGAAGAAGGAAGTGGGAAATCCTAGAAGAGATACTGATTAGATCCTAAGAAAATAACAAAAAATATAAAAACCTATCCCACCATGAAACATGACATTGGTATTAATTAAATACTAATACTAATGTTTGCTTAATACAAACAGAGCTATAGAGACCAAAACCAGAAGAACAAAGCATCCTGATGGTTAAACATGGTGGTGGAAGGATCATGCTTAGGGGATACGTTTAGCGACCTCATTTTACTTTCCTCTGCAGGCTACAGGCTCCCAGATTGGTATGATCGTCAACTCTCTGACCAACATCGGCGTGGCCCTCATCATGTCCTTCTACTTCAGCTGGAAGCTCACACTCCTCATCCTCTGCTTCCTGCCGTTCATCGCTCTCTCAGGTGGCTTTCAGGCCAAGATGCTGACAGGTTTCGCCAAGCAGGACAAGCAGGCCATGGAATCTGCTGGGCAGGTCAGAAAAAACATACAGAACATATGTCTACATGTAACTAGAACTCAGTGGACAGAATAGTCTGAAAATGGATTCATACAGATATCGAATGACAAGTCAGGAAGTCACATCACAGTAATCTTGGTACCCATAAAGGTGTTGGGTGATATCTGCTGTCTTACCTTTCGACAGCTGACAAGAGAAGACCTGACAGCAGTGTCTATTTTAAGCTCAAAGTTTGAGCCTCTTCATAAAAATAAATAGATTTCTCTCAGTTTTGGGCAGGAAAGCCTTTTCTCGGTCGCTTCTGTGATTTGGGTAAAACACTTAGGCTTCTGAAGCTTAAAGCATAATGTACCTAAAGGGCAGAGCAGAGAAGAAAAACAGAGGAAAGGGACAACACAACAAAAGCAAGTTCAAAATGAAAAGTGTTCAAAAGTCAATTTACTGTGAACTTTCTTTGTGCCATGTTAATTATAGCAATGCAGTGAACGCCACCCATCCAAGAAAAGTGGATTAGATGAAAATTTAATGATCCCCGTGGGGGGAAAATTGGCTTATTGCAGCAGCAATAGAAGAAGATACAGATAAGAATAGAGCGACTGTCTTATCTAGATCTTCCTCTCTGTCACATTTTAACAGA